TCTCTTTGCCTTCTTATCCTCTTTGTAATGCAGATATAGAGATGCACAGGGCAAAGACTGTTAGCAACAGAGCTTTATGTAACTCTGGTTTGGCCCTCAGTGCTGTGAGGACTCTAAATCCTTCCAGGTCAGCACCCATGAAAATCATGGATTAAACACAAAAGGAGTGACACATTAAATTAGAGAATCCAGGCACTCTGTTTTCTATCTAAGTACACAAACATGGCCCGGTGCTTCAGAATGGCTCTCCCCCTTCAGGGGAGGGCTTTATATACACATCACTCCCTGCTCCGCCAACAGAGCAGTGCAAAAGTTAAAGAGTTTCAGAGAGATATTAATTTCCCTTTGACCCCCAGTTTATTATCAATGCCCAAATCAGCTGTCGTAAAAACCTTTATAATGAGGCGGTTCCCTGTCCCCACAAGGATTATATCTGACCTCCCCCGGGCCCTTTCATTTTCATTTTCTTCTTCTTATGAGGTAGGGGATGGCACAGGGAAAGTGTAACCCTCAAGGTCTTTAGTCTGCAGCTTAGGCAAGAAAGAAAAACAATTAAAATTACAAATGCATAAAATTAATCTGAGTCCTTAAAACTAGATATTGCCATGGAGACCGGAGCAGGATCTGTCTCCATGGAGATCTGGATGAATTTTTTTCCCTTTAAATTATTATCATTTGTTACCAGTTGTCAGTTTGGCCAAGGAACAGAAGAAAATGAATGAATGAGTGAGTGAGTGAGTGAGTGAGTGAGTGAGTGAGTGAGTGAGTGAGTGAACTTATCTTACGTGAGAGAATGTATTAAAGGCAAGTATAATTTGTTCTGTTTCTTACTTTTCCAATGAGTGGGAAGATATCCCAGGAGATAATTTTCTCTCAGCTTATAACAGCTAATGGAAACATCTTATAATATGGTTCCATAAATGCTACAGAAAGGAGTGAGCAAAGATGACTTCTAGAGAAGGTATTTCTAACTCAGAAGCAGCAGGCCGAGGCAAGGGTGATGGGTTCTATCTATTCCCACTCTAGCTGCAAGGAGGAGGTGAGTCTTAGGCAATGTCATGGGCCAATCATGGACCAGAAGTATCCCTCAACTCCCATCCTTGGTCATGCCTTGGTCATCCTTGACCATACACAGCTACTTTGAATATATTTAGGGAGGTCAAACAGACTTCTGTTACATGTCAGATAGATGCAGGAAAACCCCACATGTTTAAACAACAATGAAGAGTAAATCACAAAGTCTCCTAGTTGCACACTTCATTTGTACCCGCAAGTACAAAAGGTCCCTGATGAAACACTCCATTGAGAGGTCACCAAAATGGTAAGCATAGACCTTAGGTGTGTAACAACTGAATTTAAAAGCCACTACTAAATATAAGTTAAAAAGAGTTTAAATGTCCCATAAAATAAGGCAATCAGAAGCTAACGACCGTGTCTGCTGACATAGTTCATTGCTAAGTGTGCACTCAATTTTATGCTGCCTTGCCAGCACAGACAGTAAATGACAGGTTGGTTTTGTGAAAAGACAGCAGGGTGTGGCCAGCTTCAGAAGACGCCACTATGTCTGAATCTTTACAGTAGATTCTCCTTAGTGCATGTTCTATAGGGGTCTCAAAACACTCATGAGCATCTCTCACAGAGGAAACAGGTTTAGGTTCCTGTGACCTCCTGGCCACAGTGTAGAGCCTTGTTTTATAGGGGCTCCTGTTTGTTTTCTTGTGACTTTAGAGATGGAAGCGAGGGCCTCCCACTTACAAGAAAGCACTCTGCTACTAAGTTCCATTCCCAGCCCCTTTGTCCATCTTTAAAGGCATCTTATTTGACATATGTGGGTGCGTTATCAATATTAAACTGCCACCAACAACTAGACTTCACACACAAACAAAACTTGTCTGACACACGTTTTCTTCAAAAGACACATCACACACAACCTTCTCATGCGTGTAGGCACCAGGAAGCACTTCATCCTGGTGTCCGTGGGCATGCTAGCAATAACATCACCAAAAAGCACAGAAATGTGAAAGAGAGAAGGTAGCATAAAACAGACTATAAGAACAACATCTGTGAGAGAAGAAAGAAGGCAGAGTTTTGCCTTGTTTGACCTCAATTGTGAACATGCATATTGAGGGAAAAAACATTGAACCTTTTTGCCCTCTCTACACATGTGAAAAGGATAGGGGCAGGGAGGTTCTCAAGTATTGATTCTAATTTGCAAATAATCATCACCAAGTGGGTGAATTTACACAAGAAATCAAGGAAGTCCTGTACTAGCCTGTTAAATCCCTTGAGAACACTGACAATGTCTTAATACATATAATTTTGTGCTAACTATATACCATAGTTAATGTTAAAGGGTGACTTATGCTCATATAATAATCCTAAGACTACTATTCTACCATGGCGGAAGTGGTCCTGGAGCTGTCAAATCACTTGTCACATCACATAGCCACAGGGCTGTCATTAAAATCTAGAGCTCAAGTTTATCTAACAGACTTTTTTCTTGTGCTATACTGCATAGGGTTGATTATCATGTATTATTGTTCACTTTTTCTGCTCTAAATGTAAGTGTGTGCTCTCTGGTTTTATGTCAACTCGACACAAGGAACACTCATCAGAGAGGAAGGAGCCTCAAAAGGCCTCCATAAGATCAGACTGAACACACGCTTGTAGGGCATTTTCTTAATTTGTGATTGAAGTGAGAGGGTCCAGCCCATTGTGGGTGGTGCCATCCCTAGGCTGGTGGTCCCAGTTCAATAAGAAAGCAGACTGAGCAGCCATGAGGAGCAATTCAGTAAAAGCATCCCTCCATGCCTTGACATCAGTCCCTGCCTCCAGGTTCCTGCCCTGTTTGAGTTCCGGTCCTACCTTCTTTCAGTGATGGAGCTGTGGGATGTGGAAGTGTAAGCCAAATAAACCCTTTCCTCCCCAAGTTTCTTTGGTGATGGTTTTCCCTCATAGCAATAGCGTGTGGAGGACAAAGTGCTTTACAAAAATTATCTCAATGATCTTTGCTTCTCTTTCTGCATCCTAATATGTAGTAAAGTGTATGGCACATAAATACTTGCTGAGCTGAATTTAATTCTTCTCCAGTTGAACCAAAGGAGAGCTCTATGCATGTTCAGGAATGGTTGAAGTGACTTATAGTCTTCTCCTACCCTTCTTTCTTGCCAGGCCCCACACCTTGCACATTTCTGCTCTGCTATTTATATCCATGCTATTTACAAGTTCTTCAACAGTAACACAGAAGGCAGCCAAAGTGCCGTCCCATTAAAAAACCTTTCCTCATCAATAGCTTATAGAGACGATGTCTATTATGATCCAAATCCTTGTGGCATAACAGGTCCACGGAAGAGCTAAGTGTTCTGCTTAACGGTCATGAAATAAGATATGTATGAAGCCAAAAGATGGTACTCAGGACTCCACCCCTGTCACAGGCAAGTACACCATCAATGTGAAGAAGTCTGTTCCCATAATAAATTGTATTATTGAAAGAGTCTGTTTCCCTGGGTAGCTTTGGAATTTGTGCCTATCTAACCTCTCACACTGAGTTTAGCGTAGGCAGAGAGAACACTTTGGAAGGAGGAAGGAGTGGGCTTTGGAAACGTAGTGAGTAGACAGGCTTTCATAAGTCTGGAGAACAGAAATGGCAGCATCACCAACAGCGCAGGAATGGTTGTGTCCAGCCAGGCCTAAAGTCGACATCATTCATCTCTCTTCAAAGGCAACAGTGTAGAGTGGACAAGAGTTGTGACTTCTCTCCATTTCGGTCTTCTCACTTCCCTCCAATATTACAAATATCCCGAAAGTAATTACTGTAAGAAACTTGACCATCTTAGTTAGGGTTTTATTGCTGTGAAGGGACACCATGACCATGGCAACTCTTATAGAGGAAAATGTCTAATTGGAGTAGCTCACTAACAGTTCAAAGGTTCAGTCCTTTATCATCATGGTGGGACATGGTGTGCAGGGAGACATGGTGCTGAAGAGGTAGCTGGGAGTTCTACATCTTGCAGGCAACAGGAAGTTGACTGAGTGTCACACTGGGCGAAGCTTAAGGAAAAGAGACCTTAAAGCCCTCCCCTACAGTGACACACTTCCTCTAACAAGGCCATACCTATTCCAACAAAGCCATACCTAACAGTGCCTCTTTCCTATGATGGTCAGTTACATTCAAATACCCACACCCCCAAAAACTATCCACTTTTTTCTAGTGTTGGCATTGCAGCTATTGGGCACTTTAATGAGAGAGAGGGAGCAGAGAGAGAGAGCCTAAGTGAATTCTAGGCATAATCTCCAAAGCACAGAAGGCCAAATAATGCTTCCTGGAGTCTTGAGCGCACCATCTTCAGAAAAAGATGGATGTAGAAGGAGGCCCTTTGGGCTGTTCAGTTTTCCAGGCGAACACACAACCCTGGATCTTAATGTGGATTTTAAGTGTAACCAAGTAATTAAAAAAAGAAATTAAGCCGAGTATACGCCAAATTGCACTGGCCTTACCCAAGGTGAGACTAAACTTGGCTACCTCTGGCTGGAAGGGTCTTCATGAGTGACAGCCTGCGGGATGCTGAGGGACTTCTCTCAATTGTGTCCGCCCCCCTCTCCCCCACCCCCAAGCGTTGGCAGCGCTGCTCCTCGGCCTGGCTTTCTAATAGGACTTCCATTTACAAGTAAGCATTGCGTCAAGGGGGCGACTTTCAAGCCTGTTAAATGACTCCCACTCCTTCGCCCTGTGTAGACAGCTGAACCCTGGCTGGGGCAGGTCTGGTGTGTGCTGGGGAGGCTCACTTTGATATGACCCCTGCTATGTGGAAGATCCGATTCCCCCTCTCTTTTCTCCGTACCCCTTCTCTCTTGTTCGTTTTCCTTATCTCTTCACTCCCCTTTTCTTTGATTTTTCTTCTCCTCTTTCCCACTCTCTCTTCTCCATTATTGTTTTCTGTTACTGTTAGTCTCTCCCTCTCCTCCCTCCCTAGGACCCATGGAAGGAGTATTTGGCTCACCAGGAATACACCAACACTGGCTTCGAGTATTTCTTGTGCTGAGAGCGGAGGGTGAGGGAGCCTTTCCGCTCCATCAAGTTCGTGGGTCCAATCTCATAGCAGTGCTCTTTACTGTCGAAACAGTCCAGACAAGCGCTTCTAAAGGTCCCCATGCCTGCGCTCAAACTGAGAGGAGACCGGGTTAGTCTTCCCTCGGCACCAGCCCTGCTCTGCGTAACAAGGACTAAGATTCTCTGGTCTCCTAAGCAACTGGGTGGGCGGAGTCAATAGAGAAGGCGGAGTCAGTAGAAGGTGGGGTTTCTCGGCTATACTAACCTGATCACCTGTCTTCTGATTACTGATTTGAACTACATTTCCCAGGATGCAGTGAAAGTAAGAGTCTGCACAGACTTTGGAAGGCCGGCTGCATGCTAAGGATTTGTAGTTGCACTGGCTGGCTAGCCTAACCTAAACAAGGGGATCGGGGCAGGTAGTGCAGGGAATCAGTTAAGGTGAAACAGCAGTGGCAGCTGTTTTGACTGGCCTTCTGCTACCGCCACACCTCTGCTCACAATTATGTTTGACTGAAAGAGAGCAAGAGAAAACCCCCGTCCTAGAATATGACCTCCCTGTACATCTCTATTGCCTGCCAAACAGTAGAACCATTCAGCAAATGAGATGAACAGTTTGAGCAGCCAAAGGCTTGGTTCCAGTCCCAGATGCCGAGCACTGCCTTCTTCCTATGACAAACAGCGCCGGGATGGAACTGTGCAGTGTGGGGGAGGGGAAGAGCAGAGAAGGGAAGTAGCGCCTTTGGAATATGGAGAACAAACTACTTCCAGGCAGTTTAGGATCTGGAATTCAACTCCCAGAGATCTATCTACCAAGATCTTTATAACTTCTGACATTTTGTGACAACACTAATTCTTGTCATTATTGTGTTGTGTCTTCCCAGTGTCAAATGAACAGGTGTGTATGATATTGGCTACCCTTTACTCAGAATTCCACAGACCCCAGAGGGTACCGAAAGTTTGCCTGTCTGGTGAGGCATGATAGACTTCTCTAGCGTTCAGGAGGCTGAGGTGGGGAGCCTAAGTTTGAGACTAACCTGGGATACATAGTGAGGCTCCATCTAATAACTAACTAAACAAAAAACAAACGGGCTTAAAATTCATATGAACCAATCAGAAGAGTAGAACTTATTTGGTTCCTGATTCAAATATACAATCTGGAAAAAAAATAAGCCCATTTTCATTAAAAAAAAATCACATGCAAAAATTAAAAATGAAGAGGATATAAAGAAGTAATTCACATTACAAATAGATTCACTTATCAAAGATGCATTGTATTGATGTCTATATTGAGGAGTTCTTCTGGATCTGATTTCGCACATTTGATTACACACATCTTCCAGGTGCTTTCCTGGGACCATTGGTCACAGTGTGGATACCAGGGGTAGGCCAAGATCCTTATTTTGCTCACAGCCACGGCCATCCATGCTACCTGAAGTCAAACACATAGTCTCCAGTCATGAGCGAAGTGCCAGCCAAGTGCCAAGGGCTGCAATTTCAGCCTTTCCTTTTTGATAGAAGGAGAAAGAGAAGTGGACTTTAAAAGGGTTAATGAGCGCCACATATTCAATCCTGTCCAATCAAAGCAGAGAAGAGTGCTGCCGATGGGGAACAAAAAGCACACAGCCACATTCCCTTTCTGTCTTAATGTTGTAGGGATCTAGCAGAGCCACTGGATCCAGGGTAAACAGTAGAGTGAATAACTGTTGTCACTGTGTCTAGGGTAGACTTTGGAGTGAAGAGTTGTTTTCTAGAAGCACTTTGACCTTGAAGAAGCACTGTGGGAAACAAGGATTGTTTTCCAGGGTTTGTAGAATTTTTTCCTGACGGAGCTTAAGAGCCTTTGCATGACTTTGGTCACAAGATGCTTCTGGCACACCTGAAGCTCTTAGATTATTGGGTGCTGCAAATGGTACACAATAAGGACTAAAGGAGCAGAAGCATGTGATGCTTTCCTTTAGAGAGACATATAGGTTAGATTAGGGACCTTGATATGAGGAAACACTTTACCCAAAAGACAACTTTGTGTAACAAATCAATAAATATGCCTTTGTTTGAGCTACAGCCCACCACAGACCACACAGAACTAAACATTTATCTGGGAGTGATTTTTTTCTTCGACTAATTCACACAACACGGGACACCCTGACATCTTAGTCACTGTTCTATGACTGTGAAGAGACATCATGACCAAAACAACTCTTATAAAAGAAAGCACTGGGGAAGGGTGGCTGGCTTACAGTTTCAGAGGTTAGTCCATTATCGTCATGGGGGGAGTCACGGTGGCCTGCAGGCAGACATGGTATTGGAGAAGTAGCTGAGGTTCTATATCCTGACCCATACTCAGAGAGAGGCAAAGAGAGTGAGATTGGGCCAGGCAGAGGCTTTTGAACCCTCAAACTTCCTCTAACAAGGCCACACCTACTCTAAACAAGACTATGCCTCCTAATCCTTCTCAAGTAATGCTACTCTATGGTGACTAAGCATTCAAATATATGAGCCTCCGAGGGCCATTCTTATTCAAACCACCACATCTCACTGCTATCAAAGCTTTGTGTTTATTTTACTTAGGCTTCAAATGAAAGTGACATTATTTGCATGTAGGCAGCATGACAAGTTTCTGCAGATGGAAGATACCCAGAACCACGCTCTTTATGCAGTGGATGGCTGCAGAGATTGGGAAAGTGTTAAGGAAGGATGTGGTGATATTATGTTTCCCAATATATTGTACACCCTAATAAACTTATCTGGAGTCAGAGAACAGAACAGCCACTAAATATAGAGGCTAGAAAATGGTGGCACACACACCTTTAATCCTAGCATTCTGAAGGCAGGTATCTGTCTTCAGAATGTAGTTCAAAGCCACACTGGAAACAGCCAGGCATGGTGACACACATCTTTAATCCCAAGAAGTGATGGCAGGAAGCAGAAAGGTATATAAGGCATGAGGGCCAGGAACTAGAGTCTTGTTAAGCTTTTAGGCATTCAGCAGCAGTTCAACTGAGATCCATTCGGATGAGGACTCAGAGGCTGCCATTTTGAGGAAACAAGATCAGCTGAGAAGTTGGCAAGGCGAGGTTAACTGTGGCCTGTTCTGCTTCTCTGATCTTTCAGCATTCACCCCAATACCTGGCTCCCGGTTTGTTTTTATTAATAAGACCTTTTAAGATTCGTGCTACAGAGGGAAGCCTGATGGGTCCTGCTGGAGCTTTGAAAGGTGTTCTGCATAGAAGTATTCAGCAAAACAAATCCAGTTTTATTTAGGAGTTCTTTAAGCCACGCTGACTGCCCATTTGAGTTAGTGAATATGCTTTTTATTATCTCTTTTCATAAAGATTTATTTTAGTTTTAACTACGTGTGTGGCTTTGGGAGGTATGTGCACATGAGTTCAAGTGCTCGAGGGGCCACAGCCACCAGATCCAGTGCAGCCGTACACGCTTGCCCTCTGAGCTATCTTTCCAGACCCGTATTTTCTCTTATTTATATTAACCTTCCCAAGCTCTATTGCCCTAAATATCTTCCTGCATCTTGTCCTGAAATGTGTCCTTGTGCACAACTGTATTACACTCTCCTTATATACACTAGCACACTATATAGAATTTTTGATTTCTTGATTTAGCAACAAAATAGGACAGAATGGTACTTTGTGGGTCTTTGTGATGGAACGAATTACAAGCGTTCAGCCCTCAATTTCAATTACTGTTATTATTATTGCAACTGGACTATGCCTGTATTATATGAAAAAAAATGTTGACCATATGTGTGTAGTTCCCTAAATACACTATTTTCAAGTGAAATTTCAAACCATAAGTCTTTCTGATGAATATATTTTTATCATGTTTTCCTTTTCCCGCTTTCCCAGAATGTCTTACAGAAGTTGTAATAATGTCAATAATGCCAGTTCTGTAAAGTGTCTCTCCTGAAGGATCACAAAATGGCACCACTGAGACCAATCCCACAAGAAGACTTTTAACCATATTAATACAAAACATAACAGTATTAATCAGAAAAATGGGAGGGAGGTTTTTTGCATGTTATCAGTGATGACAGGTTGATTTTAAACTCATACAGAATTCCTCCTGACTGTAAATAAACTTGGAAGTTTACAAACACAAAGTCACAGATCATCAAAACACTCCAGTTTGTCCAGTCTACCTCAAACATGATCAAGCCAACCAAGAGCGCGACTTAAAGTCATGCCCTCTGTTTACATTAGTCCCTCTTCAGGCCTTTGCTGAAGACCAAATCAGGGCCTCCCAGGCAAGTGCTCTACCACTGAGCTACACCCCAGGCCTAAATTTCTTCATTTTATCAGACCCCTGAAAAATCTGCCAGGAAGAATTGAGTGGGACAGCAAACTTAAGCCAAGGAAAAACCAATTAGGTGTGGCTTAGTTTCCTTTCCCGTTGCTGTGATAAAACACCCTGACAGAAGCCACTCAGTTTACTTCTGCTCACAGTTCCAGGTTTGTCATCATAACAGGGAAGTCACAGCAAGCAAAGCTGAAGAAAGATGCTCAGATCACATCCATAATCCCCAAAAGCAAAGGATGGGTGCATGAGGTTACCCTCTGCATTGTAAGTACTTCAGGAAAACACCACGG